TCCAGCAGCTTGTTTGGAATGAAAATCTGCAGCCACACTGGGCCTTTGCAGTTAAGACCGGACATAATATGAATGGCCAGATATACTTACATGAGAAGGTGTGGCACGAAATGCGCCTTGATGCAGCTGCAATCTGAAATTAAGATTCAGTTTACTAAGGCTGTTGCTAATCACTCAGACTTCACATAGGACTACTAATGCACTACACTTGCAAGGCACAGGAATTAAAAGGCACAATGAAATAGCAGAGCCATCAACAAGTTTTGGACAAAAAGAAAATACAAGCTCAGCAACAAAGAGAGCAGCGTTAATTAAAACATTCTACAGTGGTAACATGGGAAATCTATGTCATAAGTGTCACCAGGCAAACTCTGGAGGAGTAGGCTAGACAGAGGCACCAGACCAGCCTACTTACAACAACACGCCTTTGGGACACTACCACTAATTTATGCTTAGTTTTTCAAGGCAAAGAAAATTCCCATAGAATTCTTCTATGTAAATATGTATAAATTGCGCGATCAGGCAAAATTAAAACAAAATAGGCAGAATGCAACTGGATGATATGCCCAAAAATTTTATAACAATAAACATGTTCATATCAGTCGATATTGATACATATTATGATTAATGTGAAATCATTATTTCTTTCAGGTTTGAAGGCTGATTTTTGCTCCTGGGTGGTTAATTGCTGTTTTAAACAATCATTTATGGTCAGATCGTGACAGATCTCGCCAAACAGTGGAACATTTCACAAATCTGTCACGGGACAAAGAGAAAGTTTCAGGTGAGCTGTTTTAACCAGCTGGAAAAGCACAGTCGCAGTTTTTGTAATATTCATAATTTAAGAAAGAAAACAGACTATATTTAGCTGGTGACGAGTGCTAAACTGCTTCGTTTCTCAACAACGTCAGCTTAATATGAACAGCAAATATTAGCTGTCTCGGTACGTCAGTGATGGATCACACCACCTCACTGCCATCACTCCTACCACATCCATGTCAGAGCTTATCACAGTATTCAAACACCAGCAAGCAGACAACTGGATTTCTCTATTCTATCTACCATAGTAGTTTGAGGGGTGAACCGCAATATATCTGACGCTCGCTGTGTAAAAGCATTAACTGCAGTGTGATTCTTGCACCAGAGTCCTCCTTTTAGCGCTTTTTTGTCTTGTTTGATCTACAATAACATCAATTCGCTGTGCTGTGTGAGTGACAGAGCGCTGCTTTAAGTTAGCCAACTGCTAAAACATCTAGCCTGGGAAGCTAGCATTCTCTCACCCTCCAATGCCACACAGACATACAGCATCTTCAGTTTACTTTCATTTAAATCAGGGCTGTAATTTGCATAAACCCACTTCTTTGTTTCATAACACTAAAATATGACTGTTCGAGCGCTGCAACACACACGCTGTAGTTGTGAGGAGCAGATGTGATTTAACGCTGCTAGAGCTTGTTAGGATGTTAGGAAAGATGTGAGTTCACTTTAGGACAGTACAATTACACCACTTATCTCGTCACTCACACTTGGTCATAGGAGAACATAGGAGAATGTATAACTCCACGTTTCAGACGTTGCTAAGAAGTATTCTGGCGACTCATGTTACTCATCGCCCCCTCCCTCTCTAAACATGTCGAAAAACTCTGAAGTGCGCCCTCTCGTGGCGACACCAGGGCAGACGCTAAACGTGGAAGTGTGAGAATGCTCTATTATATCGAAGATTTCTCATATTTCTATTGAGAAAAGTTATATCACGATAATTATCATTATCGTTTTATCCCCCAGCCCTAGAATGCACCTGACCCACAGAGTCAGCCCAGCGACAGTAAGAGGTTTGGTTAAGTTACTGCAGACCAATGAGAGGCAAATTCTACTATTCACCACAGAGAATCTCCAAATAACTGAACAAATAAATAAATAAATAAATATACTTATTTATTAATGTTAATTAATATGGAGCACTATCCACATCCTCATCCAACTTGCAACCGAGGAGGTCCTGGCAGGAGATGAGCGCCATCAAGACAATGATGTAAGAGGAGTGATATGTGGACAAAAGGAAAAACAGGGGCAGCTGAGTCTCACTGACCATTACCAGTAGATGGACAGAACCACTCAGTTAAATCAATACCTCAGGTTCACCTCCTAACCAAAGCAAACAGACAGACTGCAGAGAAGTAATGAGCTGTAAACCATCTTGACCACTAAGTGCTTTATGTATTCACGGTCAATCAGCAGTATAACTTCATTTCTTACTAGCTGGATTAAGTCAACACTCCTTCTGTCAGATATAGCTACGGTTATGCCCTGCTAACGTGTCCACAAAGGTCAAGGAAAGAACATAGTGGAGGCTGGATTTATTGGAGATTCGTGGATAATCAGAGGTATAACCAATTGCTAACTATCTGGATTAAATAAATATGTCTTCTGTCAGAAACAGCTGAGTTGATGCTCCACTCGCATGATAAAGGTCAAGAAAAGAGAGTGCTTAATAAGAACAGTAGCACTGAAAACTGCCTTCCCATTAGTAGCCTTGCTGTTGCTAGGCAAGTGTAAGCCAATCTCTGTAGTGGCTCACATAATTCAACTGAGTGCTCAAACCTGAAGATGTAACTGCAAAGTCCCTATATTTAGGTCTGCTTCATTGCATAGCAATCAAAGTCTAACCTGGTCACCCCGTCCTGATAAGAGATCTGCCCATGTTAATCGTGCTACAACTTTGTGCTAGTGTTACACGAGTGTGCCGGCACGGTTCTCAAGGGGAAACAGGTCAGGGTAAAAGTGCCACTCTCTCTCTCTCTCTTTCATTCATTCTCTTCTTCTCGTCTCACTCGGTCTCTCGGCCCTTGAAATAATGATGAGAGTTGTCGGATATGTGAGTTGCCACCTGACCCAGTTGCACCGACGGCTACAGCGCAGGGTATGACTGAGGTACACTGCTCAATTAAAGTGAACAGATCCCTTAGTTTGGAGCTCCTAGCCTCAGGTGAAGCAGCTAAAGTTTCTGAGACTGTGAAATTTAAACCTACCATTTCAACGATTTATGCACGTTTCCAAATACATTAAGCTTGTAATGAACAAAGTTCATGCAGGACTAATTACATGCAGCTAAACCAGCTAAATCAGTAGAAACAATGGCCAATCATCAGCAACGTTTCTGACCAGAAGACACAAGAACAGCCTTCAACGTTTATCTAATCAACCTTTCCAACTAATTTTTATGCTTGCAAAAATTGTTTCTTCAAGAATTTCTGTAGTAAAGAAAATGGTTCTTTACAGAACCATAATCACGCAAAGAACCATTTGCAAGCTTAGTGTTCTTTGCATTGTGAAAGTGTTTATTAGAGCACCAAGCTTGACATCATAACAGTAGAAGAACCCTTTTTGGTGCTATACAGAACCCTTTTCAAAAAGGCTGCATTCTGAAAGTGTTCTTCAGACGGATGGAGAATGTGCTATAGATGGTTCTATATAGAACCTTTTTGAAAATGGTTCTATAGAACACCAAAAAGGGTTCTTCTGTTGTTACAAGCTTGGCATCACAACAACAGAAGAAAACCCTTTTTGGTCTATATATATATAAGATATTTGGTATATATAGCACCAAAATATATAATACCAAAAAGGGCTCTTCTATTGTTATGATGATAAGCTTGTAACAAGAGAAGAACCCTTTTTTTCTATAGAGAACCATCTCCAGCACATTCTCCATCAATCTGAAGAACACTTGCACAATGCAAAGAACCTTTTCAAGCATGCAAATGGTTATTTTCATGCTCATGGTTCTATATAGAATCTATGTCTTTACTAAAGATCCCTTGAAGAACCATGTTTTTTAAGTGTGTACATCTGATGGGATAATGACCATATGTCCTGTAATTGGACTCTGGTGCGCAGAGCTGACACTGGATCAGATCTTTACGGCTGGTTGAGTAAGCGTTACAGTGAAACACGTCGAATGACGGCTGTCCCTGACACAAAACACCAGACTTAGCAGTCTGACCCACTATCCAATGACTGGATGTATGTCGCAATGACATGGCCGTTAACTCCACAAACATAATTCATAAGATCACTTCTCATGATGGTAATCTTTGTGTACAATGGCAATTAGGCAGATTGGCACAGAGACAGCATCACTGTCATTGCCAGCATGTGCCAAGGACACAGCTGCTGGATAGGCTATTCATTGCTGAAGAGCAGTAATTCTTACTGTACAACAGAAACACTGCAGCTTGCAAAGACCCGTCAGACTACAATTTTGTACTGACAAAATAATAATTACAACGGGGAGGTTTTAAAAGACGCATGGTTATCCATGCTTGACAAATGCCAAACAGGTGCTAGAAAAATAACATAATTCAGACAGAAGATAAGGCAGTCATGTTGCAGACAGGCAGACTTTTTTTCACACTACCTGAGCATCTCTCCCCTCACTTTGCCTCAGAGACTGATCTGCCCTTCTCTCATTGTTGGGCAAATATGCCAGCGACCTAGATGATGAAAATAAAACCAGCACTTCTAGCATGGCGTGAGAGGAGCAGGCTGGCTGGAAGAAAGTATTACACTGCAGCGAGAGCAGCACAGAGCAGCACTTCAACAGCAGCAGTGACAAGAAAAACAACTGACATGCTGCATTCGAACATCGAGCCTTTGAGCTCACCGGCACAATCAAACAAGCGACCTGTTGCTGCAGTCGATTTGTATCAAAAAACATGAAGGTTGAGCAAAAAAGGTACCTAAATGCTTCAAGACTGAACCTGAATAAGAGGAATGCTTCTGAAGTGCACAAATCCATTAAGACATAATGGAAAACATAAACACCTGCAAACTGAGTGCAGTCAATTTAGCTACCGATTTTAAAAGAGTCTCGAGTCTGAAGCATAAACATGGAGCCAGACTGACAAGTGCCAAGTCCTCAAGAGCAGCTGTCGGTACTCCAGACGGCTCATCTCTGACTCTTTCCACTGTTTCTCCACCGTCTCATCCTAGGACCTTACCTGTACTTCATGCCCGTCTGGTAAGACACACACTCCTCCAGGACCAGGCCATTCATCTTGAGGAAGTCTTCCATGTTCTTAATCTGCGCGGCCACCCTCTGCTCCCTGAGCCTCTGAAGTTCAGCCTGGTCCGTGTGCCTTTGGGCCTGGCTGAGCCCCTGGTCCGAATGGTAGCGGCTAATGCCGCTCCGGATGCTCTCGCTGTAGGACATGGACAGCATCCTGCCTCCGCTGCTGCTGCTGCTGCTCTTCCGCACGCCACCACCCGGCACGGCTGGTTTGGGAATCTGCAGGTTTTCGGAAGGGAGGGTGGATTGGCGCCGGCCGTAGGGCCCCGCCGCATGCCCACCCGCGTACCCCCCCGCAAACATGATCCAAGCCCCGTTCCCTTACTACTCCCCCTCACAAGCACACACCCACCCAACCACCCACCCACAGGTGTCCTTCTAGCACCTTTCCCAACACTCACACACTCACACACACTAAATGTGAAAAAGCCTTGGGAATCTGGGACCGGGGCGGGGAGCTGAGAGCTGGCCGGGTTCAGCCATTGCCTTAAATAGCACAGGCTTTCAGGAGGGGCCTAAAAAAAGGAGGGAGGGGAAAAAAAGAAAACAGCCTAGTGTCCCCACTATCAGTGGCAGAACTGTGGCCATGCATCTTGTAATCAGACCTGATCCCGCCCTCCTTTGTGACGGGCGCAACAGCAGCGGCAGCAACAGGCAGGTGCTGGGAGCCTCAGGTGAACAAACACCAGAGCACGGGTGAGACATGCGAAGAAACTGTCTGTCCGGACTGCAGTGGGATTCCGCATTCAGACATGCACTGGAGATCGTCTATAGAAGACGGATATCATTCACGTACAGATGGGAAAATCTGAGGAAATAGCAGAATACACGCCTGTGGCTAATTAGTTTAAAGCTTGTTAAAGCTTCCCATTAGCTTATGGCACACTGATAAATAGCACTCTGGTGACTGAAGCAACAGCACTCTAAACATGAAGAACTGCTGTAGAAACTGACTGCTTTGAGTGATGGCAAAATTGTACAAGATTTGAAATATATTTTGTCTATTTTGAAGAAAGTAAGTTTTTTAATTGATCTTAACTGCAAGAAGCAATATTTGTTGACCCAAATTACATCCAGTTAAAGCTAAAATCAATAGATTTTAGAGGTTTACAAGCAGACTTGTCAACGTTGCCTCGTATAAATCATCAAATGAAAGAGCAGAACCCAGATGTATAATAATTCTAAGACATATCTGGCCCAAACGTATCGAAGAAAACATTGTTTCAGTACATATTTATGCAATTTGCTATGAAAAACGTTTATAGTATGATTCTGTGTATGAATGTAAAACACACTGTACTTCTTTAATTCAATAAGTTCAATAAATAAGAGGTTCCATTCTAAAATGCATAACAGACCACTTTTGAGAACTTTTTTTTTCATGATATACAAGGTACTGAGTGAGCTTTAGACATACAAGAAATCTTAGTGTTATATTATGATGAACGACATCTCTATTAAAGAAATAAAAACACGTTTATACATCAGCTGTTATTTGTTTCAATGTGTTATATCCTAATTCGTACAGCATTTTAGAATTAAATTCTTTAAATATTTTGTATCTAAGGGGAAGGGGAAACTTACATAAACCTTTCAAAAAATGCCATGTGAACAGCATCTCATATTACTACATTACTGTTGAGCTTGTCCTTTTTGATTATCTATTTAGCTCGATACCAAGTTTTTACACCAATTCTTTGGTTTTCATTTACATGTTTTCAAAAAACACTGAAATTACATGAAAACAAGTAATAAAAATGTGATGGCAGTTCCACAGTCCAACTGAGTCTAAAACTCAGTGACTACCGAAGAACCAGATGTTACTATCTTAAGATATTTTTAAATAAGAGCAAAATACTCCACTTAGAAACCCCAAAGAAAAGAACGATATATTCAACAGCAACACATGAGTCACTATGTCTCAAACTTCTTGTCAAACTCTCAGTGCTCATTAATCTTGTTATATTTTCCACTGAGCGCTGTGGATGTGCGGAGGATGTTTTCCTTTATTTACCCTTATTGATCGTCTGAAGGTATGTTGAGTGCTCCTGGCCCCTTGAACGTCGCTCTTCTGTACAGCACATTTCTTTATGCTAATCATTTTTTGACAAACATGTTAACACAAATACACAAAAACATTTTTAAAATAAATGAAAAAAAGACTTTTGCACTGCAAAACTTCAATCCATCATTGTCTTTTGGTTTGCCAGCTTCTCCAACTGTTCTGTTGCCTCTCAGCAGCATACAGCTTAATGGAGTACATAAACTAAGATGCAGGACCCATGGCAGATATTCCTCCTGAGGAACCTAAATCAGTTTCTCCATTTTTCATCCAAGCAGACTCGATGTCTAAAGGAATAAGGAGAACTGTCCAGACCCATGCAGTTACAAAAGTCAAAACCATGCCAGGAAACAAACAGAGGTGGACACATGCACAATGGACATTAACAACACCGGAGCTGAAACCAGAACGAAACTCACCCGAGGTCTTGGGGTTCGGCTCATGGCTTATTGGTGCCACTCTGGCCTTATAAAGTCAGACTGTGACCAGCAATGCAGCGATCCACCCAAACTGGGAGTGTCTTACTAGCAAGCATATAAACCAATTAGTGAAGGAAAGAGTATCCCCCACCATCGCTCTGTCCATCACCCCTCCCTGCTAGATTCCATGAAGGAAATCCATTTATGTAATTTGGTGGGGGGGGCGGCTTGTTTCTGTAAACCACAGCAAATAATATCAGGCCTAAATTATTCAAAGGCTTTTGTGCTAAAAGCTTTTGATTGTTGTTCCACGGGAGAGAATACTTAGAAGCCTCTCAGTATGTAATGAGGCCTATATGAGCATATGGATCTATATGAACACTTGCACACTCCTACTGTCTTGATATTTTTGCGCACACACACACACACACACACACACACACACACGAATGCGCAATTCGTATTCAATCTCTGAATACGAATCTGCTAATTCTAAAGAAATTATAATGCAGGGAAATTCTTTATTAGAGCACTTTAATGAAGATCCAGTCGGCCTTTTTGTTGCGCAACAAAAGTTCAACATGCTACAACAGAAACTTGGGGAGGTACACAATCTGTGAGAGTAATCTGTGTGTTCGGTAGGGGTGGGAATCTCTAGGCACCTCACGATTCGATTCGATTACGATTCAGAGGGCTGCGATGCGATCATAAAATGATTATTGATGCATCTTGATGCATCTTTTTTTGCTATACAGGATTTCTGTCTTCCTACTGTCTGAGGACTTGGTAGTTTTAAAGCAAAGTATTTGTAATGATCCATAATGCATTTACTTCCGATATCTTTTATTAATAAATCAAATGGAAGTGATGCGGCAAATGAACTTGAAGGCTCTCATTCACTGCTGTTTGGAGCACATGAGACGCAGCTGCCACTCATCTGCGATAAAATGCGCTGTAAGGTGACACAAGATCCAGTGGTAATAGATGTCCATGCAGCACATTACAGCTATTCTACTCGTTTTCTTTAGTGATTTTATAACTTCGGTTTTGGTCTCGTTGTAGAGAGTGGTGGGATCTCTGTGTAAATAAAATATTTTTGAGACGGGGCGCGTGCAACATAGCGCGAAAGCCCCGGTTCTCAACGGCTGAGAACTGGCCTGTAGACTGCAGGTCACTTAGCAACGAAGTCTCGCTTGGCTAGTAGCGAACGAAAAGGCACAGTTTAAGACGAACATTTGGAGATGAACGGACTTATTCGCATTTATAAGCAGCGCAGTTGATTTCCTGGTAAAATTAAATCTGCAACGAGAGACTGTCAAACACTAAAAGTCGCAAAGATGAAGTCGCTTCTCTTTCGAATTGTCCCGTTCCACCTTAAACGGTGCCGCATTTACATTCGGCGCCTCAGGCAGAATTTAAGGTGGAACGGGAAAATTCAAACAAGAAGCTGGAGAATGAGAAGCAACTTCAGCCTCATAAAACAGTCGAACGATGAGAGACATTTTACAAGAAACTGGTCTACTTTTAAGGAAACGTTTCTGGTGGAAAGGGGAGGAAAGCGGCTATAACTAGTTAAAGCTTAAAGCAGAGTAGAGTAAGTCCACGTTTTTGTTTATATTGTTTAGTCTATACTAGGACATTATCACACACTGAGACATACTGGACATTAAATGTTGCAGCTCCCAAGGTGGTTTGATTTTTGTTGAAAGGACAAAATGGCTCTTCTTATCATTTGTGTTGTGACTCCTGATCTAACCTGGCTTTAATGCAGAGGGTGCAGGTCGGATTTCTCACTCATCCAGCAGTGTTTTTGTTATGTGCCGTCACAGACTGTCCGGGCGCTGCACTTCCGCACTTCCAAGTTCCACCTTTTGCGTTCCGCCAACATTACGGTATAAATTAAATATTTAGAAAATCGATTTTTGACATTTGTGAATCGATTCAGAATCGTTCACGTCCGCATCGCGATGCATCTAAGAATCGATTTTTTCCCGCACCCCTAGTGTTCGGGTACTGTGCCCTTAAAAACTTAACCATGCGCGTGTAGTCACGTGACTCTGCCACGTCCAGTCTGTGACATGGAAGCTAAGGCTATGTTCACACAGCAGGTAAAAGTGGCCCAAATCTGATTTTCTAAACAAATACATTTTTTTTGTTTGGCTGTTCACAATATCTTTTAAATGTGATCTGTATGTGTACGTCAGTCTGTACAGAACAGCTCCTAAACTGACCCGCACGCTCAACAGAACAACACGTCACGTTGCTTCACGTGACTCATCCAGAGGTAAACAATCATGACTATGAATGAACACCAGTCGCTCCTGAAGGTTTCAGTTTCATCCTCGCCAGCATCACAGGAGCCATCATGAAGCTTCACTGACTGACAGTTGGGCTCATCACCCAGAATATGTTCGAGCACCTGTAAAAATGACAGTCACTTCTTTGGTTCGTGTCCTCAGATTCTTAAAACTTTGCTTTCAGACTTTTAACTGTTCTTTCAGGCTGCAGCCTTGCTCTCCTTTGGACACGTCTGGCCATTTCTTTCGAAATCTATTCAAACGCAGAGGTGTTTGGGACGAGTCTCTTCTAATTTTGTACAGAAACATCTGTCTAAATGTTTATGAGGTCTCAGCAGCATGAAATTGTGACGAATGTCGAGTTGGATTGACATAAAAGTTGCATGAATTCCGATCTGGATCTGTTGAGCCGATTTAGTAAGATACGCAGAGCATATTTACAGTAAAAATCTTGTCAGTGAACTATGAGGGAAAAAAACCCTAAATAATCGTTCATTAATCATAATCGAGGTAAAATATTAAATTAATTGTGATATTGATTTGAGGTCATATCGCCCAGCACTACTAGCTGACTTGGAGAGGAAACTCTGAGGTTCTGATTGTGTTCCGTTCTTTGAGAAATGAAACCAGCCAATAATGCCTTTACTGTTGCAACAGGTAATTTGGTCTCTATTCCTGGTAGATTAACAGAGCACTGTCTTTACAAGCGGTTTCACAGAGGTAGAAGATACAGCATATCTAAAGAAGCAAATCCTTTGTTTGATGACTATTAAAGGGTCAATGGGTCCCCAGATTGTCTGCATTCTTCAGTTCATGGGCAGCTCCTGAAACTGTAGAAGGAGACCGGTGGGAGAACGTAAGGAAAGTCTAGGACAGTACTGAGGATTTGGTTTAAGTTAGTTGCTAAAAATGTCTCTTATTTGTTAGGCAATGCTGTAAAACAAGAAAAGCCAGTGTACGTAGAAGGAATACTGCTACCGACTGTATTCTCATCCCACAGACATGTTTAAAGCAGAAGGAGAGAAAGAAAAACTGACTATCGCTTATTCTTTCCTATCTTCATTGGCCTATGACAGTTTCAGGCGAGGTGTTCTGAACCACTTAGAATCTGGAAAGACTGTTTACCATTAAACCATCTACTAGGGATCATTAGCCAGTGTTCATTTTTACTTCATTTTTACATACGGCAGAAAGTAATAAACAAATTAAGAAACAAACAAGCAAATAAATGAATACAACCACAGTCATGGTCATAGACATAAGGTGATGCAACACACATCGTTTAAAAGGCCTCAGGCAACGCTGAAAGAGCCCATGTTTAAAAATTCATTTTCAACATCAATTATTGCATGACTGAATACATAAGACATGTGAGTGGAGCTAAGAGTCCATTCTCACCAGGAAATACCTGCCCTTAAGGTACTAAAGGGATGCTGGACTAATTCATCAGGTTTGTCAATGAAGGCCTTGGTTCACATTTTTCACTGTTCTGATGAGACATGCTAACAGGGATTGTGTCACTGTTTGCCTAAAATACAACAGGGTATCTCAAAATAAACCTTACATTTGTGGAGAATAACATGTCTTTTCAAACAGGTATGTTTTCAGATGCACCAACAGAATGTATTCCTGGTAAGCTGAATTTTCACTGAGAACAGTCAGAAAATTTATACCCAGCTGGGAGAAGGCATAAAGTTAAATTCTAGACCATTTCTAGGCCGGTAACGGCTCTTAACAAGCTATTTTATTGCTTGGATTTGCAGCGTTGCACTCGTCTGAGACACTTAAATTGCACGCAAGTGAATAGCTGACAAAACTACAAAGCTAATGATGTAGAGCAGGGGTATTTAATTAAAGTTCATTAACGTCCAGTTACAGAAAATTTCCTCAAGCAAAGGTCCGGAACATCATAATGTCTAACCTGCATCATGATTCAGTGCCATATACTGTTTACTGAAGTAGCCTAGTAGGTATATCAACATCTTATGTAGTCAACAACTGAATGTCAGATCAAATAAACTACAATTCAGTCATATTTCAACAACATTTGTCACTTTTCTCTTTTTAGAGCCGCCATGTGAAATAACTTCCCTCTGACTTACATTCTTCTCCGAATGCTGTGTCTCGCCCCGTCCCTCCCCTGTGTGTGACTCACTGTAATGCACAGATCTGATTGGCTGACTAGCATCACGTGTGATATGTACAACATATGCGATTGGTCTGTGAGTTTGCCGGGCCGCTAAACCGGTACCGTAAGGGCTAGAAAAGTTGCGCCGATTAAAATAGGACCACCCCGTTGAAATTCAATAATTCTCCATAGTTTATCTGTCATAGGTCCAGGTCCTCATAGGACAATGCTGTCCTATGCGGACCTGGACCGCCTATTAGTGACCTCTGATGTAGAGTTTAGAAAGAGACGTCTACAAATATCCCCATACAATTTAAACTCCAGTTTATCTATCGGCCAGAAATACCATTTCCTCATTTTCTTCCATGAGTTTTGTAGCCGTCCTGTGTAATATTAATATTAACTACTCGCCTAAAACTATTTCTGCAAGAATACGGCAAAGCAAATCTTTTGGAAGGGAGGGTGGATTGATGCCGGCTGTACTGCTGGGCGATATGGCCCCACTGCATGCCGACCTAAATTGATTTGATTATATATATTTGTGTTAAAGTTGCTTAGCAAATGACATTATTACATATGTTTTCACGTAAACATGCACCACTAAGATCAGTCTTGGTTGCATTTATGTGTAACTTGGTTGGTTCAAGAAATGGTCTCAGCTAACTGACTTTGCAGACCATCCTTGTTAAGACTTGTTGGTGCAATCTGCCCCTGAGCTCCACTCTTATGCTAGATTACACGGCCAGT